GTGTTGCGAAACCCTTCTCATAAAACCAACAGCCAATAAACAAGGAGTTTGCCTTTCTAGTCAGTCACCATTCCAACATATTGGCACTTACCAGTAATCAAATAAATCATGCTCTTGCATGTGTTAAAGACCAAGGCCAGGTAAGATTTCCGGCTGTTTAATTGTCATTTCATGTGGTTCTATAAATAACCACATTGCCTTTGCATGCCTTTATTTATAATTTGAGAAAAAATGTGTGTGTGTGTGTACCTCCCTCCATCCTACTCCTTTTTGATGAGGTCAGGGATGTAATTACTGTAGCTGTCCTGTCTGGGAATCTGACCATGAAAGAAAGAGTTTGTGTCATTACCTCATCATTGCTTTGAGGTGGTTTATGCATCCAAACAAGAGTATGCTACCTGGGATCCATTCAATCTCAAATGATTGTGTCTCTGGTTATGTATATAACCTAATGTTAGTGAATAGTGTCTGTGGCAATAGAGGCACCTGTATAGTGTTTTTATTATATTCCTATAGCTCTGGCTATGTGCAGTATACAAAACTGAGTACATACAGAAGGTCATTTGAGTGAACTATCTCGTTATGTGAAGTTTCTGTACCTGTATTTTCCATCCCCGGTCTAATTTACTTGATAAGTCTGCGGATCAATTCCCTCTTCTCATCCTGCAACTCGCTAATTTTCATCTCATAGTCCTGCTCTCTCTTTCTCTGCTCTGTCTTTGAGCATCTCTCGCCCTCTCAACACACTGTCTCATGTCTCCCAGGTTCTGTCTTACATTCTCCAGTATATATATTTTGTTCTCCAGCTCCATCAATGTGTCTATGTATGCTTCCTTGTCTTCCTTGTCCTTTTTCTCTCCTCCCTAGCTCGCTCACCTTTCTTTTTCTCCCTTCCAGAGTCCTCCCCACCCTCCCTCTTTCCCCTGCACTCCACCGCTCCTCACCCCTTCTCCCAACCCCCCATTTGAACCCCTCTCGTCGCCCCCTCTCCATCCTACCCGGCCTCTCCTCTCGCTCGCACGACGCGGGCGTCGCCCGGCAGCGCGCGACCGCGGCGCGCGCAGTGCAGCCGCGCGACGCGGGCGTCGCGCGCAGGCAGCCTCGACCGCGGGCGCGCGGCGGCATCCGCGCGACCTGGCGTCGCTCGAGCGGCAGGTCGCTACCGCGGCGCGCGCCGGAGCCGCGACGCGGGCGCGCGGCGGCAGCGCGCACCGCGGGGGCTGCCGCCGGAGCCGCGCAGACGCGGGCGCGCGTCGCGTCAGGCACCGCGCGACGCGGGCGCGCGCCGCTAGCAGCCGCGCGACCGCGCGGCCGCCGGCAGCCGGCGACCGCGGGCGCGCCCCGGCAGCCGCGCGACCCGGGCGCGCCGCCGGCAGCCGCGCGACCGCGGGCGCGCGCCGGCACCGCGACCGCGGGCGCGCGCTCGGCAGCCGCGCGACCCAGGGCCGCGCGCGGGCAGCCGCCGACCGCGCGCGCGCCGTCACCGCGCACCGCGGGCGCGCCCCCGAGCCGCGCGACCGCGGGCGCGTGCACTACCGCGATCCGCGGGCGACGCGGCGAGGCGCCGCGCGACCGCGGGACCGCGCCGCAGCGTCGGACCCAGTGAGCCGACGCTCGGGGCTACCGCGGACCGCGGGCTGCGCGGCAGCCGCAGACGCGGGCGAGAGCGGAGCGCGCGTACTCCCCCTTCCCCTCTCCTTCTTCTCCCCCCCCCTTTTTTCTTCCCCATCTCTCTCCCTTTCTTTTTCCTCCTTCATCCCTCTACTACCCTCTTCTCTCTTTCTCCTCCTCCTCTTCTTCTCTCCCCCATCCTCTCTACCTTCTTTTTTTCCTCTCTCTTCATCCTACCCTTTCTCTCTTCCTCATCCTTACTCTTTCTTCCTCATCCTCTACCCTTTCCCCCCCCCCCCCCCCCCCCCCCCCCCCCCCCCCCCCCCCCCCCCCCCCCCCCCCCCCCCCTCTCTCCTCTCATCACCCCCTACCTCTTTCTCCCCTCCTCTCTAACCCTTTCTCCTTCTCTCCTCTCTACCACCTTTCTCTCTCTTTCATTCTCTACCTCTTTCTCTCTCTCCTTCATCCTCTACCTCTATCCTCTTTCCTCACCTTTTTCTACCTCTTTTCTCCCTCTTTCATCCTCCTAAAACTCTTTTTCTCTCTCTTCACCCCTCCTTACTCTAACTCTTTCTCTCCTCTTTCATCCATCTCTACCTCTTTCTCTTTCATCCCTCTTTCATTCTCTCCTACCCAATCCCCTTTCTCTCTCCTTCTCCTCTCTAACCTTTATCTCTCTCTTCTCTTCATCCGCTCTTACCTCTTCTCATCTCTCCTTTCAGCCTCTCTACCTCTTCTCGCTCTTCATCTTCTACCCTCATCTCCTCTTCTCCTCTTCTTTCTCCTTCCTGCCATCCTTTTCTACCCCTCTCTTCTCTCTTTCCTTCTACCTTCACTCTCTCAAACTCTTTCTCTCTCTCTTTCTTCTCTTCCTCCTCTTCTCCCTCTTTCCTCCTCTTCTCTCTCTTACCCCTTATCTACTCTTCTCTCCCCTTTCTCTACCTCTTTTCTCTCATCTCCTCTACCTCTTTCTCTTCGTCTTCATCTCTCTACTCTCTTCTACTCAGCCTACTCATCTCTATTTTCTCTCTCTCCTTCGTCATCTCTTACCTCTTCTCTCTCTTCCTCATCTTTCTACTCTCATCTCTTTCTCTCTCTTTTCCCTCCTTCTACCATCTTTCTTCTTTCTCTCTTTTCATCCTCTCTCTCCCTATTCCCCTTCTCCTCAATTCCCTCTATCCTCTCTCTCTCTCTCCATCCTCTCTAACCCACTTTCTCTCTCCATCTCACTCTCTTTCTCTCCCTCTTTCTCCTAAATCTACCTCTTTTCCTCTTCCTCTCCTTCATCCTCCTACCTCTTTTCTCTCTATCTCCGTCTCCTTCATCTCTCTAACCTCTCTCTCTCTCTCATCATCTCTCACCCCTCTTTCTCCCTCTTCTCTACTCTCTCCTCTCACCCTCTCTACCTCTTTCTCTCTCCTTCATCTCTTACCCTTAACCCTCTTTCTCTTCTCTCTTCCTTCTACTCTACTCCTAACCTCTTCTCTCTTCTCTCTTTTCATTCTCTCTACCTCTACCTCTCTCTCCTCATCCTTCATCCTTCTCTCACCCTCTTTACTCTTCCTCCTCTCCCTCTCCTCTCTACCCCGTTCCTCTTCCCTCCCTTCCATCCTCTCAAACCCCTTTCCTCTCTCTCATCCTCCTCTAGCCCTTCTCTCTCTCTTCATCCCTTTCGCCTCCTCACCCTACCTCCTAGCCCTCTCCCCCCCTTCTCATCCCAACTACCGCTTTCCTTCCCCTCCCCTTCCCCCTCCTCCTTCCTCTTCCCCCCCCTTCCCATCTCTCTCTCTCTTCTCCCCTCTACACCTCGCCTCTCTTCTCCTCTCTCCTCTTTCATCTCTCTACCCACCCTCTTTCTCTTCTCCCTCTCCTCTTCTCCCCTCTTCATCTCTCTCTCCTCATCCTATCCTCTCATAACCGCTAATATCTCTCTCTCCATTCACCATCTATAACCTCTTTCTCTCTACTTCATCCTCTCTACCTCTTTCTCGCTCTCCTTCATCCTCTCTACCTCTTTCTCTCTCCTTCATCCTCTCTACCTCTTTCTCTCTCTCCTTAATCTTCTGCTCTTCTTCTCCACTTTATTGTCCTCCTTCATCACTGTCTGTTTGTCCTTCTCTCTCTCATCTCCTTCTCCTTCCTCTCTACCTCCTCCTTCCTCTTCTTCATTTCCTCCTTTGCACTCTTCAATCCCTTCTCCAACACCTCCTTTATTTATATGTTCTCTCCCTCTTTCTGGATCTTGTACAGCAGTCCATAGAGAGCCTTCAAAGTTTCTTCCTTCATCTGTGCATTTGCACTCTCTTTAACTCTCTCTGTCTCCCTCTCCAGTTCTCTCCTCCAGCCCTCTCACTCTATCTGAGGATCTATTCTATTCAGTCTAGTCCAGTCTACTGGTCTAGTTCAGTCTAGTCCAGTCCAGTGTAGTCTAGTCTAGTCTAGTCTAGTCTAGCCAGGTAAAATTAACATGGCAAAGTCAGATTGAATCACTAATTCAACAGAGGGGAAGTTGTATTACAGCTAGATTGTAATAGCCCACCAAAATACCCACCAAATAGGCTACTTAATTACAGATGATTGATTAGGGAAACTCACAGCACAAGAACATTGTCCGTTATCCTCTTTCAGTTTTTTCAGGTCTGTGGGGAAAAAATTGATGGAAAAAATTAACTAAATCTATTGATTTCCACCTGATGAGTTTAAGTATTCAGATTTATGGGTGTCATTCAGGCTGATAGGTTTGCATTGTGCTCTGCTCCAAGTGTTCAGCAAAAGTCACTCAGAAGTGAAATTCATTTTTGCAACATCTAGATTGTTGGGTATGTTGTCATGACAATGGCATTATGACGCTCCAGAACCAGAATGATGATATTATGATACTCCAGAGTTCTGGTCCTGTCCTGTCAGTGCTGGTCTACTCCCTCTGTAAACTAGCATTTCATCCTCACATGTATGCCCCTACACCAAATATTCTCAGAAATAAATCTATAAAATAATGGGTTCTCTTCAATTTCTTTCTCCAAAACACAAACCATAGAGATTAGGCTAATAGGCTATTTCTATGACACAAACTGCTTTCTCAGTTGACTAAAGATTAATCTCTGCTAGGCTACTACACATAATTGTTCAGTATTGTTATAAGCCAATCCAATCAATTAGCAGTTAGATGAAGGACAAAGCAGTTAGATGAAGGACAGAAAACTAATAAAATACTGAAAAATAAATGTTTTACTAAAACCTCTCAGATATATTAATTTAATGAAAATATATGTTCTTATTTTCCACTATGTTTACTTATGTAGTTATCTAACACAGTAAAAAGCCTTATGGTTGTATTGTTTTTGTGCTTTTAGGCTTTACAGCGGCCGTTCTAGGTACCTGATCTGACTGTTACGTTGCCTTGTCCTATAATGAACGAGCTGGACAAGGTCGCGCAAGATTCGCATAGCCGCCTAGCTGTCACAACGACAAACGTCCGGATATCAGAAACGGTTACACTACAACTAAATGGAACAAACAGCACAGTAGAGAAGACAATTTGTGACCGTGCATGTATAACGGACAGTCAATATATCGCATTATAAAAACACATTTAAGTAGGCTATTCTCTCGGACTTCCTCGCGCTTGCCAGGTGAGTTTTGGTGTTTTCCTCATATCTTTTTTATTTTCTCAAACATAACAATGTAGGCAATTTCTCAATTAAGCCACACACATCCCCATCGATATTGCAAATAGCCACAATGAAGCGTACAATATAGTCTTTAAACTGATGCTTTAGAGAAAGAAAAACGCTAAATAACCGACATGAGTTATTTTTTGTCGGGCATATTAGGGTGGTAGCCTATTGTTAGCATACTATTGCGTTATATATCTGCCTCCCGTTTCCTTCTCTTACATTTTGGCTATAGGGTTTAGTTCAAGCTTTTATTGGTATCAAATATGAGTAGCCTATTATATTCTTAGGTCATATCTGATGAGTTGGGATATTGAATCGTCCCTCTGGTTTAGGTTCACTGCGTCTAATGCTCCCTTGTATAAAAATAGCTGAAGCATCTCAATGGGGTTCGCGTCATAATGCGGTTTTCGATGGATTTTTATACTAGGCTTATGTTTCGATGTCTCATGAATAAATCCCTTACGGTGAATGAGAGCCTAACTCATTATGTGCAGTTTGATAAACATCCACTTCAAATAGACAGGAGCTTGTTTTCAGGTAATCGATTTGGTGCAGCCCTGGAATAATGAAATAACAATATTGGGTGTAGGCCTATCCGTGCATCCTATAGGCCAATTTAGCCAATATTTGGTAGGACTGCCAGCTAGACCAAGACGACCTTTGATGAACATTTTTCAGACATAAATGAGGTAGTTGTTGATGTATTAGACATTAAGAGTTAGGCCTACACAGATGCTGAAAGCCTGTAATTACACCGATGAATAAGGGAAACCTATTAGAATAGCTATAAGAGTCTTTGCAATCAATCTTTTGTAACTTTTCTCTTTAGAAACCACCATGTCGCTGTATCCGTCATTGGAGGACATGAAGGTGGATCAATTTATACAGGTAAGAGTCCTACATTTGTTTCAACACTTCAAAAACACCTAATGCATTGTTATTGAATACATGTATAACTAATTGGCCTCATTATTTTACCAGGCTCGAAGTAGTACTTACTCCGCCAGTCCAACCAAGACACCTGCTCTACCTGCTGTACAGGATGCCCCCAATCCAAATCCTGTGGAGGAAGAAACGGGTAACCAATTCCTCCCAAAAGTCTTCCATTATCAATAATGCAGTCTGGATATGTTGTCATGTCTTCATTTTCCGATTCTACTAACCTTTTGATATCATGTCTCACAAATGATGGTAGAATTGTATCCACTCTTAGAGCAAATGGGAAATAATGATTGATCGTAGCTTGCCTTTGTTTCTCTAATTTCACTGTATCTGTTGGTTGTCTTGCAGGACTCTACCCCAAACTGTACCCTGAGCTCTCAGAGTTCATGGGGCTGAACCTCAGTGAGGATGCACTTCGCCAAGCGCTGTCCGTGGTACCAGCAGAATACTACTCTGGGGTAATCACTCTCTGGGTCTATAATTTGATATAAAATGGTGGCAGTTATTGTCAGGGGGGATTTTGTTGAACTTTCAGTCCACAGCCCTAAAATAAAATATAATTGACACCAACCCTGTTTGCTATTACTTTACTATCATGTCTCTGTTGAATCTAAAACTGACAAAATTAACCATATAGTAGACGTACATTTGTATCTAGTCCATGGGATACTGATGAATGTTCTCGCCTCTGTGGCTCTTTGAGAGTAACATGTTGGCTCTGTGTGGTTTCTGCAGGCAGTGGCTCCCAGGACTTCCGCTCTGAGCTACATGAGCGCTCCGATCACAGGGAATGACTGTGGCATCCGCAGGGCTGAGATCAGGCAAGGCATCAGGGAGGTCATCCTCTGCAAGGACAGCGACGGCAAGATCGGACTGCGCCTCAAATCTGTGGACAATGTAAGACACTGGCACTATTCAATGACATGTCAATTAATATAAAACGATCCAGTTGGAAATATGAACAAAATAGCAGGCTACCTTAGGTTTTCCCTTTAGCAAGCCTGACTATAGCGCCACTTTTGTTCTCTAAATGTCTCCCTTGGATACAATTCTGTTGTTGAGAATCAGTGTTGCTTGGCAGGGTGTGTTTGTTCAGCTGGTACAGGCGAACACTGCCGCGGCATTGGGTGGCATGCGCTTTGGAGATCAGGTGCTGCAGATAAACGGGGAGAACTGCGCTGGGTGGAGCACGGACAAGGCCCACAAGGTGCTGAAGAACGCCAGCGCAGAGCGGATAGCCTTTGTGGTACGGGACAGGTGAGCTCCCACCAGCCATTCATAATTCAACTGAGGATCCAGTTACACCACTGAATTATTGACTTGGTCCATCATGCTTCTGGATGAGGACACTGTGTGCCAAAACATTACTCTAGCTGCAACAGATATCATTATAGTACTATGGTGTGTATTATAGTGTGCGCAACTGTACATTTCCTCTGACAGACCATTTGAGCGCACCATCACCCTGCACAAAGACATCAACGGCCAACTGGGTTTCATCTTTAAGAAGGGGAAGATCACTTTTATCGTGAAGGACAGTTCTGCTGCCCGCAACGGCCTCCTGACTGATCACCACATTTGTGAAGTCAATGGGCAGAATGTAATTGGACTTAAGGTAAACAAGCTGTCCTGATTGGTTGCATCTGTGGTAGGAAGCCAAATAGCAAGGTCTACTGCACTAAAAACAACCAATGTTTTCACATTGTAGGTGACATTTTTTTATTTGAAAATTTTGCAGTGTATTCATCAGAAAATGTGTATTTTTGTCAATTTGCTGTTCTGTTCTTTGTGCCAACAATTGCTTACTTTTCCCCTCTGTTTTTGTTCCTGGGTTCAGGATCCACAGATTACAGACATCCTGAACTCCGCTGGTGGAGTGATCACTGTCACTGTCACACCCACCATCATCTTTGAGCACATGACAAAAAAGTGAGTACGATGTATCAAGTGGTGTTCAGGGATGAAACAGACACAAAAACCGCCCCAGAAATCTAAATTTGACAGAATATTGATTGGTTTTCAACAGTAATACTGTGACACCACATAAGGAGTGAAAATGCCTATGGGAATATGCTAATATAAGGCTGTCTTTGGAGGACACTAGTCTCGCGATCCCAGATCTTGACACCGTTTTCTCATTTTCGTTCTGGAGAAACCTAGATTGGCTTCTCGAGGCTAGTAGGACACTCATGCCCACAGGATAGTCTGGGAGGAACAATCATTGATATACTGTCCATCTATTTCTCTCTACTTGTCTATAGGATGTCTTCCAGCATTGTGAAGAGCCTAATGGACCACTCTATCCCGGAGGTGTGAGGCCAGCAGTCATGTGATAGGAAATGAAGAGGCGTACCAATAACATATGAATTGATGAGAAATTATGATTCTGCTGAGTAACCCCACGTCTCAACGCTGCATCCTGCGTTCGTGAAACAGACCAGTCACATATTCATCTTTATGCCCTTACTTCAATCAAAACCCATAACCATGTTTCTGTGTGTAAAATCATCTCTGTACAGTATGTTTGTTTCAAGCTGTAATATAAACAGTAACAGTCCATATGAATTCAGACGTCTATTCCTGCAGCGCTAGAGGAATTATGGTTTTGAATTAACCCACAAATTCGGATGAACAGGTTTGATTTTATAGGGTCCTGAGCGAGAGACCCCATCTTGCCTAATGGAAGCTCCATTGTAGCCACAGTCTTTGGTTTGAATGATGCATTGAGCTCATCATTTAACAAATATAATTCCGTCCTTTTTGTCAGTGGAGATTACTTTCCTCTTTTATGACTTTGTAGTCATGTGACACAATCTGTCTTCTTCTGTACTTTGTGTTACTTGGATTGTCTTTTTTCCCCCTCTTCTATGGTACACATTTGAAATGTTTCACATGTATGCCTTCTAGTACATGTTGTAAGCTTTAAGGAAAAACTATTTACCTGAGACAAAGTGAAAATGCTTTGGTGTCTGAGGGTATCCTAACGTAATAATATTCTAAACCAGCCCACAATAAGATGTAGATACTATAAATTAAATTTAGTTTAATCTCAACTGTATGATGTAATTTTTCTCAATCCATTCCTGCATATATTGGTTGGTTAAAATGCCCTGCATGATCTATGGTCATCAACATGTCATTTTCGCACAAACAAAATAATACATAATCAAGTTTACTATGACAGCTACTCAGTGTTACTTAAATAAAGCCATACAAACTTTCCTCTTTGTTTCATGTCTTCTGCTATGTTTACAGTGAAACCTAACAACACCACAAAAGGACACCAGGAAAAAACATGTATTCACAGATGTGCAATATTTTATTGACCAGGATCTGTACAGTACACAAAAGCTGGGACATACTGCATCAATGTAACACTGTTAGCCCCGAGGCATGAAAAAGAGTAGACATCCCGATTTACAGCATATTTTTTCTCAGCAACCTCACTCAAATACATTCACTTACGTCACTAGGAGAGCACTGCTTCATTTTTAGCTACTTCCCATTAGACCAAATGCTGCTGGCAGCTTTTACTTACAGTGCTAGTAGTGGTAGTAGAGTATGAGTACATTTTGTTACATATTACTTACAACTGTTACACCTGTTTAAGGATTACAAGGACTCGTAAATAAACCGATCACAGTGGAGACAACTGTGCAATTTAAAGCAATATTTCTAGGACAAGGGGAGGTTAAACCACATCTCATTTGAGGTTTCCCCCTCACAAATCCGATGCATATAAAAAAAGTCTAAATGAGTAATTTTACACAAATGGAAAACGTATCATAGTACTTAAAACTATGTTCCAATACTGCAATTACATTCTACAGTACTTGCCTATGTAACTACCTTGTTAATACAGGTTTAAGCTCCACATAATGTAAATAAAATCAAAAGTAATAAAACAAGATGGGTCATCTCTATTAAAATGGGTGTACAGGGTGGTATATAGTTAGTTACACAGTGCATTGGCAGTCTATGCCATAGCAAGATGCTTCAGTAACACTCACATTTATCTTGCTATAACAAGGTTGACAAACTTGAAAGAAATGCACTCTTTGCATGGGTGAGAGTTCCTGAGTCTACTCAGTCTCAGTAAAGCAGTTCCCCAAATATAGTGGGGCCAAAGCGCTTATAAACATTATTTTGAATTATGCCTCACTGTAAGTTAAATAGTTAGGTATATTAATATACCTATGTTTTAATCTACAATAACTATTGGACATTTCCCATGCATTAGCAATTAATGCTCTCAAATGAAAATTGTGGGGAAAATAAATCTAATGAATATATTTTTATGTAGCATGTGTGTGTTACTGTATGTATTTAATAATACTATTAATGGAGTGGATTTATATAGAGCTTTTCCAAGTACTCAAAGTGTGTTTCATTGTACATTTATTTAATGTCATGATAATCTCTACTGCAGGTATTTCTGAAACACTGCTGGCTATACAGTTTGTTTTGTGCCAGAGGTTTATTCCGACCACTATGCGGTCAATTACATCATGATTAAATGGTCAGTCACTAAGGCACTATGATAACTGAATGAACGCTTAAACAATACAGACAGAAAAGCAACATATGCTCTACAGTAAGATAATGTAAAAAAAAAAAAAAAAATCTAAAGAAACCTGGGTTGACTCACTGTCTGGCAAAAGCATAGAAGTGCAAAATTTGCATGGGAATGCTGCAAGAGGGCATGTGCAGAATCTAATCATCGCCATACCACCCTCACTGGGTTGAAATTGATATTTATATTGGCTAACATGATTAACGATTGCTATGTTATGCTAACATGATTGAGGATGGTCAATATGCTACGCTAACGTGACTGAGGATGGTCAATATGTTACGCTAACATGATTGAGGATGGCCAATATGTTACGCTTACATGATTGAGGATGGCCAATATGTTACGCTTACATGATTGAGGATGGCCAATATGTTACGCTAACATGATTGAGGATGGCCAATATGTTACGCTTACATGATTGAGGATGGTCAATATGTTACGCTTACATGATTGAGGATGGCCAATATGTTACGCTAATATGATTGAGGTTGTCAGTATGTTACGCTAACATGATTGAGAATGGTTAATATGTTACGCTAACATGATTGAGAATGGTTAATATGTTACGCTAACATGATTGAGAATGGTTAATATGTTACGCTAACATGATTGAGAATGGTTATGTTATGCTAACATGATTGAGAATGGTTATATTGTTCATAATTATATTTTGTTTGAGAACTCCAGACAGGTGTATGATTGTTGTCCCTGCTAACTGGACCAGTTTATTTGTAAGTCATATGTGCAATGATTTTGCGTTGCCATCTTTGGGTGAGCCAGCCAGCAGGCCAGCCAGCCTAAATAGTTACCTTGACCGACGGTGATAGCCTCTTTGGTTGGAGCCAGACAGTATAAAGATGTCTCAGAGTGAGTGTCCCTCTTGGACTTCACCTGTGTACATAAACATACAGAGGGACTTTCGAGCACTGTGGTCAACAGTCAAGTTTCCAGAAGATGATCTGCTTGTCTTCGCCGCCTGTGATCACCGTGCTACACTGCTCGTTCATCCACATCGCTGTGACTGCACCTGGTCAGGGCCGAATAAAAATGAAAGATTAACAATAATTGATTCTGCACATGTATACAAGCCCACAGGGACCGTTTGAATGATACCAGATTTAATTGAAATGTATTGCTATTCATTCATTGCCGTTTCATTTGCTGTTTCATTTGTGTTTTGACATTTTAGTGATGATTATTGGTGTACCTGAATGTCCAGGGATCCTGGTGGTCACTTTGCTGCTCAGCAGGTCCAGGACCTGTAGGTGTCCGGACTGACCCCCCGACAGGACCATGTTCCCGTCCCAGCAGAAACATCTGTTCCCAGGGACACGGCAACAGTCAGGCAGGGGTCATTATATTTGTGTAGATGCACATTATGAGCCAGAGACAAATGAGGATACAGACATAGTAACCTGTTCTATTTTGGCCCCTAGCCGCAGTTCACAAATCCAGGGCTGGATAGGTTTAAGAAATATGGCAGAAGCTCCACTCAGCTCATTAGAGGGATTCAAGAGGACATCACCATATTGCTTACACCCGGGAAGTTCCTTCCAAATCTTTGTGAGCAGGGACTAAATGAAGTTGCCATGGACTGAAATGGAACTGGGACAGAGTGGGTGTGGTCTTACCGCTGCTCCTCATCAGCTTGCACAGACGAGATCATCATGCCTGTCTGGACGTCGATTACCTTCAGACACGAGTCCTCTCCTACACTCAAGATGTGTCTGCTGTCTGTGAAAATAAATACAAGTTGGCTCAGTCATGTTTAGTGTTTATTATACAGAGGTAGTGAAGGTTTAGAGTAACAGTGAGTCAGAGAAATCCGACCCAGACCATGTAATTATAAACCCCATTGACAATGACCAGCAGACCTTAATCATATTACTGTAGTACAGTTATTCCCAAACTGTGGGTGGATGCATCAATGATAAGGATTAAACTACCAGTCAAAAAAAAGTATTTAGTCCCATGTATAGTCCATACTGGGACTGAGGGATGTACTAGTTAGTATTACATACGTACCAGGACTAAAGGCCATATCGTGGATCTTTCCCGAGTGGCAGTGGACTTGATGGAGTTGTACTGAACTACTGGTATCCCAAATGGTAGCGGTTCCATCCTTAGTCCCTGATACCAGCAAAGTACCTGCTGGGTTTAGGTTAATAGTGTTCACCTGGAAATGGAGAAAACATAGGTTAGGGTTAGGCTGTTGGACAGAAAGACTCAAACAGATCGCAAACAGTAAAATAATTTCTGAGAGGTAAGTAAGGATGTCATGTTCACTCTCAGTCCGACATGCAATAAGACAGGTTAGTATCATGTGAGATGATAGGCAGGCACTTACCCCCGCCTCGTGTTCAAACTCAGCCAGCAACTCGAATTGGCATCTCTTATTATTTGCGATATCGGCAGAGTCACATTGCCAAACCTTCAATAGAAATAGAAATATTAGCATTCATACAGGCCTATTATATTGTCAAACAGACGAATTAGAAATGCATTAAGCCATTAAAAGATCATTTGAAAAAAGGCTCATGTCATTTTACACCCATGGTGTTCATCATCATCATCAAGATTATGATGGTGTCCCTAACCTTGACTGTAGAGTCCCAGGATGCCGTGTAAAGCTGGTTGTCCCTCCAGCACATCTTACTGATTGCATCATCATGACCCATCAACGTGTCCTGACGCCTGCCAAATGGTATCGAGTAGAAATACCTGGGGAGGAAGAACACTGGATGTGATGAAATGTACAAGGCCATTAATCAACAGGAAAACGCTCATCCAGATGCAGCGCTCCTAGTAGCCGGGGACTTTAATGCAGGGAAACTTAAATCCGTTCTACCTAATTTCTACCAGCATGTTAAATGTGCAACCAGAGGGAAAAAAACTCTAGACCACCTTTACTCCACACACAGAGACGCATACAAAGCTCTCCCTCGCCCTCCATTTGGCAAATCTGACCATAACTCTATCCTCCTGATTCCTGCTTATAAGCAAAAACTGAAGCAGGAAGCACCAGTGATTCGGTTAATAAAAAAGTGGTCAGATGACGCAGATGCTAAGCTACAGGACTGTTTTGCTAGCACAGACTGGAACATGTTCCGGGATTCTTCAGACAGCATTGAGGAGTACACCACATCAGTCACTGGCTTCATCAATAAGTGCATCGATGATGTCGTCCCCACAGTGACCGTACGTACATACCCCAACCAGAAGCCATGGATTACAGGAAACATCCGCACTGAGCTAAAGGGTAGAGCTGCCGCTTTCAAGGAACGGGACTCTAACCCGGACGCTTATAAGAAATCCCGCTATGACCTCCGACGAACCATCAAACAGGCAAAGAGTCAATACAGGTCTAAGATTGAATCATACTACACTGGCTCTGACGCTCGTCGGATGTGGCAGGGCTTGAAAACTATTACAGACTACAAAGGGAAGCACAGCCACGAGCTGCCCAGTGACACAAGCCTACCAGACGAGCTAAACCACTTCTATGCTCGCTTCGAGGCAAGCAACACTGAAGCATGCATGAGAGCACCAGCTGTTCCGGACGACTATGTGATCACGCTCTCCGTAGCCGATGTGAGTAAGACTTTTAAGCAGGTCAACATTCACAAGGCCGCAGGGCCAGACGGATTACCAGGACGTGTACTCCGAGCATGTGCTGACCAACTGGCAAGTGTCTTCACTGACATTTTCAACATGTCCCTGACTGAGTCTGTAATACCAACATGTTTCAAGCAGACCACCATAGTCCCCGTGCCCAAGAACTCTAAGATAACCTGCCTAAATGACTACCGACCCGTAGCACTGACGTCTGTAGCCATGAAGTGCTTTGAAAGACTGGTCATGGCTCACATCAACAGCATAATCCCAGAAACCCTAGACCCACTCCAATTTGCATACCGCCCCAACAGATCCACAGATGATGCAATCTCTATCGCACTCCACACTGCCCTTTCCCACCTGGACAAGAGGAACACCTACGTGAGAATGCTATTCATTGACTACAGCTCAGCATTCAACACCATAGTGCCCTCTAAGCTCATCACTAAGCTAAGGATCCTGGGACTAAACACCTCCCTCTGCAACTGGATCCTGGACTTCCTGACGGGCCGCCCCCAGGTGGTAAGGGTAGGTAACAACACATCTGCCACACTGATCCTCAACACGGGGGCCCCTCAGGGGTGCGTGCTCAGTCCCCTCCTGTACTCTCTGTTCACCCATGACTGCATGGCCAGGCACGACTCCAACACCATCATTAAGTTTGCCGACGACACAACAGTGGTAGGCCTGATCACCGACAACGATGAGACAGCCTATAGGGAGGAGGTCAGAGATCTGGCCGTGTGGTGCCAGGACAACAACCTCTCCCTCAACGTGACCAAGACAAAGGAGATGATTGTGGACTACAGGAAAAAAAAGAGGACTGAGCACGCCCCCATTCTCATCGACGGGGCTGTAGTGGAACAGGTTGAGAGCTTCAAGTTCCTTGGTGTCCACATCACCAACGAACTATCATGGTCCAAACACACCAAGACAGTCGTGAAGAGGGCACGACAAAGCCTATTCCCCCTCAGGAGACTAAAAAGATTTGGCATGGGTCCTCAGATCCTCAAAAAATTCTACAGCTGCACCATCGAGAGCATCCTGACTGGTTGCATCACCGCCTGGTATGGCAACTGCTTGGCCTCTGACCGCAAGGCACTACAGAGGGTAGTGCGTACGGCCCAGTACATCACTGGGGCAAAGCTCCCTGCCATCCAGGACCTCTATACCAGGCGGTGTCAGAGGAAGGCCCTCAAAATTGTCAAAGACTCCAGCCACCCTAGTCATAGACTGTTCTCTCTGCTACCGCACGGCAAGCGGTACCGGAGTGCCAAGTCTAGGTCCAAAAGACTTCTCAACAGCTTCTACCCCCAAGCCATAAGACTCCTGAACAGCTAATCATGGCTACCCGGACTATTTGCACTGCCCCCCCACCCCATCCTTTTTACGCTGCTGCTACTCTGTTAAGTATTTATGCATAGTCACTTTAACTCTACCCACATGTACATATTACCTCAACTACCTCAACTAGCCGGTGCCCCCGCACATTGACTCTGCAACGGTACCCCCCTGTATATATAGCCTCCCTACTGTCACTTTATTTTACTGTATATATAGCCTCCCTACTGTCACTTTATTTTACTTCTGCTCTTTTTTTCTCAACACTTTTTTGTTGTTGTTGTTTTATTCTTACTTTTTTTGTTTAAAATAAATGCACTGTTGGTTAAGGGCTGTAAGTAAGCATTTCACTGCAATGTCTGCACCTGTTGTATTCGGCGCATGTGACCAATAAAATTTGATTTGATTTGATTTGAAATGTCATGGATATGGAAATAGAGCTGTTATGATGACTGGAATAGGTAATGTTGTGATGACTGGAATAGGTAATGTTGTGATGACTGCAATAGGTCATGTTGTGAGGACTGCAATAGGTCATGTTGTGAGGACTGCACTGTAAAACCATGAAACGTTTATAACCTAAACTTCAGTGTTTAAAACTTAAATATTAGGCATTTATATTTGCCAATAAGTGTTCTGATCTTAAAAGACAGGTGTTTAGAATGCAAGATTAACAATGAAAGTCAGCTTTTTCCAGTCAGTTTCCAACCAGGAGAACACCTATATCTCCTAAGTGTTCAGATTTTAAACACTATTGTTTACTTCCCCATCTTCCTGTTTAGAGTGCATTTTGTCATTAGAAATGTGACTTCCATGCCTTTTATTCAGATCAGTGTTGGAAAATTGTCTGTCACCTTTACAACAATTCAGCACAACTGAACAGGACATTTGATTCAATAAATCTTTTCAATCGCGTAGTGTTGTTGTCACTCGACTGTGAGATAGTTTGAAAAATGTATGCACTCACTAACTGTAAGTCGCTCTGGATAAGAGCGTCTGCTAAATGACTAAAAATGTAAATGTAATAGTTCATTTCTGTTAACGCAGAGTGAAAAAGACGTGGGAAGGGCCTCTATCAGATTTCCCAGCATGCTTTGTTTTTTTAATAGTTTGTTTTAACATCTATGTTTCCTCATTGATCTTATACTATACAAAGATAAATAACTTACGTTTTTCTAAACTAATCCAATCTGTTAGTAGTTGGATTTATTGCACCCGTTACTGAGATGGTTGTTCCAGTTTAGATGGTTTATGTAGTCTAACCATACAAGTTATTCTGAGTGCAGGTTGTGGGTGATAACATATTCAAATTATTGGATATCTTCCCTATGGCTGGATTCCGATAGGAATTGCTAATCACTTCACAAATCAGTGTATTATGACTTGCAGGTCTGATGTGGCCCATTGGCCAGGATTTTCAGACCACAATGCCGAAGATAACTAGGCCATACCTAAAGGCCTTATGAAACGTATCATATGTGGTTATAAACAGTGTACTTTTAATTGAAACACATTCACTTAAGCAGTCACTTTGTGACAGCTTAAGTTATTGAATGGAACAAATAGGTCACTGTCACTAACAAACACAGTCATGGGTGGGTATCTCTTACATTCACGCGAAAGGCATGCTGGGAAATATTCAAATACAGCTTTACACCCTACAGTGTTAAAACAATACACCCAGTGTTCAAACCTTAACTCCTTGTGCTGAATAAATGTGTTCATGTGTTTAGAAAGTGTTACAGCGAATAAACATATTCTGGTGTTTACAATCGAAACACTGTGACGCATTTTCATTGAAATTCTAAATGACTTGACGTATTTAAAAGGGTTACAGAAAAGTGTTCAGATTTTAAACACTGTAAAAAAAAAAAAAAGTGTGGAATAGGTATTGTTGTGATGACTGGAATAGGTCATGTTGTGATGAATAATGGTGAGATAATGGTCAAGTGATGAACTGAAAACGCTCACACATTATTGTCCCACGAGGAGCAGACTACGGCCTTATCCTCTGGTAGCATCAAGCACGATGATAATGCCTGCAGGAAAAAAGGTATGAAAAATGTATGCACTCACTAACTGTAAGTCGCTCTGGATAAGAGCATCTGCTAAATGACTAAAATGTAATACTTTCATCTCATAATAATGGAAATGGTTTCACAATAAAGGGGGCGAGAGGGGATCACATTCTGCTCAGTACCATGTTGGAGAAGGACATGCTTCTCTGCAATCCATTAGACTCTCTGGAGAACATCTTCAGTGTTGAGTCTGTGGAGGAGAGTACTTTTAGTCCTTATCAGACTTCAATAGCAAATTATACTCATATTAATTGCACATTAACGTTCACATGGAAAGGCTCAGCAATATTTTAATTCATCATATTCTAAAACATAACCAAAGTTTACTTTACAAGCTGATTTCCAGACCTTGTGATGTTGTGAAGACAGATGATGCAGTCCGAGTCACTGCGATGCCTGTCACAGCCCTGTGTTTTTACAGAGAGTGTATTCAGTCAGAGATGATCAAGTTGAAAAGTCACAGTCCAATAACAGGGTGGATACATTTTAGGGGTGGACAGAAAAATTACATAGTTTAAATTCTCACTCACTCTTTATGGATTTTGTGGCTGGACATCAACTTGAGTTTAGCTATGTTGTTCCAAGCCAGTCTCCTACTCTCTTCGGTTAGGTCTTCAAAGGAGGAGTCCTCACTGGTGGAGGCTAAAAAAGAACAATGGGTAAATTAACACTACACCTCCAAACTTCAACAACTGGCATTTGTGATTATATCGCAAAAGCAAACATGTTGAGTCTGACTGGAAAAAGCTTTGCAATGTCAGCATTAGATTAACTGTGTCTGTCTGTGAGTGCAAGTGAGTTCCTTCGTTCCCTGTGTTTGTCTGTCAGTGAGGGTGTTACCTGGAGAGAGCTCGTTGAGGGGTGTGTTTACACTGGGTGTCCTCGATATGCTCTGGAATCTGGGTGTTATCCTCTGTGGGTGTGGGGTGGTGAACAGTTGCGTCGGGGTTTGCCCAAACTCCAGGATCTGAATCAACATGGCAATCTTCTCATTGGGGTCCTCTATACTGTTCAGAGGGAGAGAACAGAGAAGGAGACAGTATTTCATAAATCATTTAATCAGTTTACTGGATATGTACGAAATATGGAGAGGTGGATAACACTGAATGGTTAACACTGAATGGTTTCATTACCTATCACAGTCGATGCCTCCCTCATATGTCAATGGATGGAACACTGCCAATAAAACCAGGAGAATCAACATCATTACATCACATCGGTATTCATTAAAAACGTTTCATCATCAGGCAAATGGATACTCAGTCTCTGATGCAATCTAGGTGTCTCGTACCATTGTGGGCTGCCACGGCATCACTTCCTTTTTGCTTGAAGCCAAACACTAGGTCGATCCACTCGTGCAGGTGTTCTGACACGTACTGACTCTCCAGCGCTTTCTGGTTCTTCTGAAGAAAATCACTGGCGTCTACATCATACATACAGGAAAATAATGAACACAAACACACACAACCAAAATAATATCACCAAAATATAACACACAAACAAATTGTTTCCATGTTGTAGTTGTTACCTGCAGCCCATGGCGGAAGAACTACATCTTGAACCGAGCTTCCACCTTGCCTCTTCCCCAAATCCAGACTCAGGCAGTTTAGCAGAAAGCTGGCGTCATTCCCATAGAAGTCTGGGATCAACTGAAACAGATGGTTGACAAGGAAACGTCCACATGAGACACAGAAATAATGTGCAAAGGGACATTTGGTATTATACAATTCTGATCATTATAAAATATTTTTCATTCAAGGTACTTTTTACCTCTTTGAAGTCAGTTGCACCCTCTAAGCAATTTTTCCATGTTTCTCCAATGCTGCAAACACATTAATAAATCCATGTTGGCATGGGTGATTCAGACAAAGATTGTAAACATAATTGGCTAACACTTTACATTAAAGCTGCAATATGTAACTTTTTGTGAGACCCCAACCAAATTAAATTAGAAAAGTTTGTTATAGATCTGTCATTCTCATTGAAAGAAAGTCTAAGAAGTGGTAGATCAGTTCTATATGAGCTATTTCTATGCTTCACATTCTTAAGTTTCTTTTTTGCGTCTTTTCCGTTCGGTTTTGTACACCAGCTTCAAACAGCTGAAAATACAATATTTTTGGTTATGGAAAATATATTTCACAGCGGTTTAGATTGTACAATGATTCTCCACACTATACTTGCTTGTTTTGTCACATAAACTGAAAATAAGCGAACTATTAGAATTTTGGCAACCAGGAAATGGCAGAGCGATTTCTGCATAGTGCATCTTTAAGTTACCCCTATTACTATGTAACTACACAGTAACAACATAGTAGTTACACAATTGGAACAAGAAATGTGTAATTACACATCTACTTGAAGGTTATTCCACAAGTGTAATTACTGATGTCATTACACCTTTTCTTGTTCCACAATGTAGCTAACGTTTTGAATTTACATGTTTGAAAGTCAGCTCTGAATTACCATGTTACTAACTCGAACAAAAATCTGACACTGTTACATTAACTACAACATGCCACTACCATCGAATCCACATGTAATACCAAGGTTGATAAATAGTCTAGGACCTTTACCCCCCTGTGTTAGTATGTTTTACAAACTAATTAGTACATTTTACTAATAGTTATTGCTTTGAGTCTGGAATGGGGATTTGAATTTGAATTTGAATCTTTGTCAAATCCATAAGAGTCTAAGCACTGTCTAAGCTGTGGGAGGGTACTACTAAGCTATATGGAATTGTTTTAAGGTCATACCAAGGATCATTTTGCTATTTGATTTTACATTTTCAGACCCCTTGAAGTATCAAAAAAAAAATGTAAAAAAAATTAAATATGTATTTGGCCTTACTGCTACACGAACATCTCATTCCAAAAATCATGGGCATTAATATGGAGTTGGTCCCCCCTTTGCTGCTATAACAGCCTCCACTCTTCTGGGAAGGCTTTCCACTAGATTTTGGAACATTGCTGCGGGGAGCATTAGTGAGGTCGGGTACTGATGTTGGGCAATTAGGCCTGGCTCGCAGTCAGCGTTCCAATTCATCCCAAAGGAGTTTGAAGGGGTTGAGGTCAGGGCTCTGTGCAGGCCAGTCAAGTTCTTCCACACCGATCGACAAACCATTTCTGTATGGACCTTGCTTTGTGTACGGGGGCATTGTCATGCTGAAACAGGAAAGGGCCTTCCCCAAACTGTTGCTACAAAGTTGGAAGCTCAGAATTTTCTAGAATGTCACTGTATGCTGTAGCGTTAAGATTTTTGTATATATAGTGTATTAGCCCATACAAACACATTGAATAACAGCTTGACTACATGGAACAGATAATCCCCCAAAACAAATCTAAAGGAAGTTTGTTCTGAAGTGTCTGTCCTATATCTGAGAGATATAAGAAAAAACAATTGTAACATGTATCTAACCCCTTATTTTTGGCACTAAACAGTCTCCATATACAGTGCATTCAGAAAGTATTCAGACCTCTTGACCTTTTCCACATCTTGTTACGTTACAGCCTTATTCTAAATTGTTTTTTCCCCTCATCAAGCTACACACATTAATGACAAAGCAAAAACAGGTTTTTAGATTTATTTGCTAATGTATTAGAAATAGAAAACTGATATATAACATTTGCATGCGTATTCAGACCCTTTACTCAGTACTTTGTTGAAGCACCTTTGGCAGCGATTACAGCCTCAAGTCTTCTTGGGTATGACGCTACAAGCTTGGCACACCTGTATTTGGAGAGTTTCTCCCATTCTTCTCTGCAAATCCTCTCAAGCTCTGTCAGGTTGGATGGAGAGCGTCGTTATTTTCAGGTCTCTCCACAGATGTCCGATCGGGTTCAAGTCTGGGCTCTGGCTGGGCCACTCAAGGACATTGAGACTTGTCCAGAAGCAACTCCTGCGTTGTCTTGGCTGTGTTCTTAGGGTCGTTGTCCTGTTGGAAGGTGAACCTTCACCCTAGTCTGAGGTCCTGAGCGCTCTGGAGCAGGTTTTCATCAAAGATCTCTCTGTAATTTGCTCCGTTCATCTTTCTCTCAATCCTGACTAGTCTCTCAGTCCCTGCCGCTGAAAAACATCCCCACAGCATGATGCTGCCACCACCATGCTTCACCGTACGGATGGTGCCAGGTTTCCTCCATATGTGACGCTTGGCATTCAGGCCAAAGAATCTTGGTTTCATCAGACCAGAGAATCTTGTTTCTCATGGACTGAGAGTCCTTTAGGTGCCTTTTGGCAAACTCCAAGCGGGCTGTCATGTGCCTTTTACTGAGGAGTGGCTTCCGTCAGGCCACTCTACCATAAATGCCTGATTGGTGGAGTACTGCAGAGATGGTTGTCCTTCTGGAAGGTTCTCTCATCTCCACAGAGGAACTCTGGAGCTCTGTCAGAGTGACCACCGGGTTCTTTGTCACCTCCTTGACCAAGGCCCTTCTCCCGATAGCTCCGTTTGGCCAGGAGGCCAGCTCTAGGAAGAGTCTTGGTGGTTCCAAACTTCTTCCATTTAAAAATGATCGATACAACTCTGTTCTTGGGGACCTTCAATGCTGCTGACATTTTTTGGTACCCTTCCCCAGATCTGTGCCTCGACACAATCCTGTCTTGGAGCTCTATGGACAATTTTTTTCAATCTCATGACTTGGTTTTTGCTCTGACATGCACTGTCAACTGTGGGACCTTATATAGACAGGTGAGTGCCTTTCCAAACCATATCCAACCAATTTAATTTACCACAGGTAGACTCCAAGTTGTAGAACCATCTTAAGAATGATGAATGGAAACAGGATGCACCTGAGCTTAATTTCGAATCTCATAGAAAAGGCTCTGAATACTTATGTAAATAAGGCATCTGTTTATTATTTTTAATACATTTGCAAAAATTTCTAAAAACCTGTTTTTCGCTTTGTCATTATGGGGTATTGTGTGTAGATTGATGAGGGAAACATTTCTTTAATCAATTTCAGAATAAGGCTGTAATGTAACAAAATGTGGAAAAGGGGAAGGGGTCTGAATACTTTCCGAATGCACTGTATACTTCCATAAATGTTTTCAACCGGTACCAGGTGACCTTCAGACGAGTCTTGTGAGGCCTGTGGGCATCCTGGAGCAAAACAGTCTCACCTTTCCACAGAGGGGTCATATTTATGTGTAGCCCAAACGGTTCGGATGCTACAGACAGTTGGCAGATTGGCTGTACCTACTTCAGACAAGTCCCAAGACGTTTTCGTAGAGCAAAACAGAGAACACCATCGTGTTCGTGAGTCTCATCTTTCAATAGAGTAGGCCAAACTGACAATTTTGCGAGAAGACCGATTTTCGGAATGTCTCATGGTCTGACAAACACCGCTCTAGCTCTGTCACCTTTCACCGCAGATGCGGAAGTGCGACATCAGCGGATGTGGTGGACTGAGACGCATCCAATGCAAAAAACATTTATAGCTTAAACAAGCAACAAAAACAACTAACCTATTGAACATGCGGTCTGCATTGTCATAGCGGCCATTTTGAAGACACAGCATGTGTTCTGGGGCTACAAGGGAGAAGATGGTAAAAAAAATATATACATTTACATTTACATTTTAGTCATTTAGCAGACGCTCTTATCCAGAGCGACTTACAGTTAGTGAATACATTTTTTTTTTTTATACTGGCCCCCCGTGGGAATCGTACCCACAACCCTGGCGTTGCAAACGCCATGCTCTATCAACTGAGCTATATCCCTGCCGGCCATTCCCTCCCCTACCCTGGACGACGCTGGGCCAATTGTGCGCCGCCCATGAGTCTCCCTGTCGCGGCCGGCTGCGACAGAGCCTGGATTCGAACCAGGATCTCTAGTGGCACAGTTAGCACTGCGATGCAGTGCCTTAGACCACTGCGCCACTCAGGAGTATATGTCATGTAAGCCTTCTCAGTAATGTCATGTAAGCCTTCTCAGACAACACATGAAATAATGTAAAAGGCTTACTTTTGCAATAACCACACAGTCAAAATCTCGTACTATATGTCAAACAATATCAGAAGGCGTCGACATACCAACTCTGACTAAGTAGAAAAGCACATAGCCTGGAGAGGAGTAATGACTGCCGTACATGAAACGAGGATCAGGCATGTCTCTGTACCGGGACTGTAAGGAAGAGAGAGATCCACCCTAGTTAGAACATTTTATTGTGGTTTTTCTAGGGATGCAAATTTCAGTACATTTTGCTGCCGACTAACCAAACTTTATTAACCGGTCAACAAACGGTTAAATTTTTTCCAAACAGTAAAATTATGTGACCAACAGAAAATACTATGCATGCATACAAGAAACTGACATTTTTCATTACGAGCTTAATGAAAACATGCAACAATAGCAAGCCTTACGTCTTACAGTCAAAAGGCTATAACCTATTATTGAACATGCAACTGCTGTAATAAAACAGCTAATTAAACGTCATTTTCAATAATTTGCCAAAATGCAATTTGGGGGGAAAAAAATTTCTAAACTGCACACCTAATGCGAGTGGTTCCATATGTGACAGAGATGAAAATATCCATTAGAAACACAGAAAGAGGTTGAATCTACTAGCAACAACTAGGATGGGGGTTGCTAATATGACTAGGATTGTGCCTTCGGCTTCTGGATAACGAAAGAAAGTTGATATGAAAACCAATAGTCTGAAGTCATGAAGGCTTTATAAAATAATTGCCTCCACGTTTCTATGGATGGATTTTTGCAAGGCTACTTTGAAGCAAGGTAAGACATGCCTCATTCGAAGTAAAGTAAAATGTTCAGGTTTCAAACAATTATACTGCCTCACATTGTAAAGTTGTAGGTGACGCGCTGATAGCCTGCCTACCGTTGACTACAGCCTATGCAGTCGAATGGCGAATGGGAGGCGCGCTTTAATTAGCTCTTTTTAAATTGTGGCCATCAAAATAGTTTAACATGCGATTGCATTTAAAATTGTTATTTGTTGCGCAATGACTGGGCTTGCAAAAGCAGGTTTCACTCCAGTAGCCTACAGGCTTTTTGAGGAGCTACTCTGGCGCTGTCTGACAGGTGATAGGCTATTCCGCTCCTCAAGCTAGGCTTTGTATGCTGTGCGCCTGTGATAAATAAGATACATAATGACTAACGAAAATACACACGCGCAAATTTAATTCCACAAAAGTATGCTAATTAACCTATAGACCGATAAGCATGACCGGTCAAATGTCTTTTCGGGGGCTAACTGATTAACATCCCTAGGTTTTACAAATATAAATGATGTAATATTATTTTCTAAACTGTGGCACATCAGTCCTGACACAAAGGGGGAAATAATGCAGGGGTCATTGAGCCTGGGATAAAAGGTAGTCTCACCAACAATCTCTCTAGTCTCTCTTTATTCAGCGCTCCCACAGGCTTGCTCAGGTCACGGAAAGTTGCAGGGTTCATCATATCTGAGACAGAATCAAAAGGATCCATTACAAAACAATTACCTAATAACTATGGAACCACATGCTAATACAATGGTGTTACTATAATAATTACAGTGTTACTACCGTTACTACACAGGTATAGAGCAATTCCAAATGAATAGGAAAGATGGACAACATCCAAATATGCTAATATTCAACACTGGCTCAAAATAATTGAGCCCGAAGCTCCAGTGCTACATGAGTCATGACCCCAATGTACCACAGTCCGTCAAGTTTCTGTCTGTCAAAAGGTGTTACCCAAAACTAGACCTTGCGCCCCACTCACCCAGCTCTGTGCTGCTGTAGTCAGCGATGATCCAGGGGAAGACGGGGTACTGAGACAGATCGTTGCTGCTGCGGTCAGCCAGGTTGTTGAGGTGCAGCAGGTACTGGTAGTTACTGAGGTGACCCCGCTGCCACTGCAGCATGTAACTCTCCGCTGTGTGTTCCACCATGTGGTTCTCTGTGAGAGGGAGAGAGACCAATCAGGAATCTGGTATAGTTATATATCATTACAGATGCATCCCAAATGGCACCTTATTCCCTAAGTGCAGTGCTTTTGACCAGGGCCCATAGGGGGATGTGCACTACTCTGTGCGCATTCTCAATGTATGGTCTCACCAGGATCAACCCAGAGAGAAAGAGCTGATGTGAGGTACTCCTGCAAAATGTGTTTGTATGTTTGCTATGTAACTCGCTGTGTGTTACTGACCCAGAAACGTGGCGATGTAGTAGTAGAGGTCATTTCTGTCGGTGGTATTGTAAAACTTCAGATAGATGTCCGAGCAGAAGTCGTTTTCAGTACAGAACACCTCTAGCCCCTGATCAAGACAGAGCGAGTCAGTTAGTTTGGGAGGGAGAGTAAAACACATTATAGTCGGGGAGGGAGCATCCTCAGGGGTCTACATTTATGGAACTGAACTTGGTTGGGGTATGAAAAAGCGGCATAGTCTGACTAGTTAGGTCAACATGATGCAAATATTTAAGAGTAATGACTTGGCACGAATACAAACACTACTCTTCAGGTCACTAGATAATAAACAGAATGAGAAATTAATCCTGAGCATCACACTCACCAATGGCCTGAGTCCATGCCTTCTCTTGTAGATTTGTTTAACTCGATGGAGCTCAATTCGGACTACCTGTTCCTGAAATGAACATTGTGGAAGAGGAGACAGACATCATATTGTATCTTCACAAAATCCCAACAAGGGTGGTATTTTCCATTTTAGAGTAATCGCAATTAATAATAGCAAACTGGCATAGCACTCACTAACTGTAAGTCGCTCTGGATAAGAGCGTCTGCTAAATGACTAAAATGTAAATGTAAATGTATGGATAACTCACAGGATAGCCATTGAGTGGTTGGAAGTAGAGGCTTTGGTCAGTTATACACACGTGACCAGGGTTTGTAACCAATGGAGTGACCATCTCCGCCTCGCATTCCATGTGTGGTATTTCTGCAACATTCTGAAAGCTAAGAACAACCCAAAAATATTGTATTATATGCATTTGAATCTAAGAATCCATACATTGTGATATATATTGTAGCTAGCTGGAGAGGAATTAGACAATCAGTGCATTATTGAAGTATTTCATTATCACACCAAGGTTGTGACTAAGAACTTATTCTCACATTATTTAAGTACATACCTGTTCTTGTCAAATGAAGTTCTTGCCAATCTGGATTGTAAATTAGCAGCAATCTAGAAGCACAAAATTCAACTGCTTACATGTACTGTATACAACAATGCTGTGGCAAACAGGGAAGCTAAATGGGTTTGAAACAACATCTTATTCAACAGTTCAATCCAGTTTGATGAACTGTATGTAGACAAACAATATTCTCTCTCAATTGCACGTTAAAACCATCTGTTTTCACAATGTTTTGGTACTTCTAGTGTTGCAGTTTTGTACAGATATGACTTACCATTGCAGTCTGATCTCCAAGCTTGTCCAGACAAGATGCCCTATGCAGCTGGAGAAGTTGATGAAAACAATAAATGAGAACAAACAAAAGCTGCATTACCACATGGAAGGCAAGCACTTTCACAGTTCTAATAATCCGGCTATGGTACTGTTACATACCTGAAGTAATGTTTGGACAACATCCTCCGTTTTACTGGAAACTTCCAGATGGAAGAGAAAGGTACTGTCTCCCTATTAGAATGGTTTGAAAAGTCATACAATGTGCGAAATTATAAATGTTCCTACGGCTGCTGATTATAAATCATGTTGTGTTTATAATCTGACATATGGACAACCTGCATTACAAATCTAATTGACATTTAATGTACTCACCCTTTCAACTATGTAAGGTGCAACGACATTGTTCTCTTTGATAAGGTAAACCTGAAGTTAAAATGTGCATTAGATTAGTTGTACTAAACATATTTATACAGAATAATGTCAGCAACTTTGTAAGATAAAATGTTGGTAAATGTTCCTTAATTAAAATGTAAACACTTTAATTAAACACACCTGTTTGCATAAAATGGTGAGGCCAGCTGGTTTGCTCCTATAAAAAATTTTAACATTCAAATCAATTAAGTTTTCATCTTATTGGTTTATGTATTTGTGCATAAACCCAGTTCAATTGCAAAAATGAGACTCACTCATTGAAAGGATTCTGGTCCTTTTCCTCAACCGCTTCAATCTTTTTGCAATCTCTGAGAGGAATCTGGCAGAGGTTAAAATCAGTATGAATAACAAACCTATGTACACAATGTGAAAAATAACACAGAAGTTAATCAGAGCCCTATTTATAAAGGAACAGTCTGATCTAGGATCAGGTCCTCCTGTCCATCCATTCATTATGATTTTAAAGGCCAAACTGATCCTAGATCAGTTCTCCGAGCTCCATTTGAGTAAATCCTCCTTGGTGAGTGGTGCTGTACTACTGTGTGTAGACTACAAAGCACAAAAACACACCTTTAAAATGGGCTCCACATGGTCCTCAGGTTCAAATATGATGGATTTGGAGCATACTTTGAGTGACCCTCTGATCTTTCTGCAAAGAGAAAAGAGTGTCAGTGCTGCAACTACAGCGCTGCTATCCACCATGACTTAGAAAGGGGATAGAATTGGGTGGACCTGTCAGTCAGTCAGTCAATTTCAGACATTACCTTTTCTTGGCTGAACTGGTTGTCACATGGTACACTGTGTGCTGTTCAAAGTAATACTCTTCCAGGTCCAGCAACAGGAGAGAAAATCTAGGGGAAAGACACCGAAAAAACAATGGCGGTGAAGAGCGCCTTCAATTCAGACATTTTTGTTCAATTTTCACACAGAACTACCTAATGTTTGAGGTCATGACTTCAAAAGAATGACCTAGAATAACCTCAACTACATTTGTCATCTAATGACAAAGTAGCATAATAACATTAAGTTCCAATTGATTTGCCATTTGGGAAATGCCACTGGCATGCTATAAGGGATGGTGCTGGAGAAATGTAAACCACTCTCAAATTCATAGATGGGGCTATAGATGCAAGGACTGACAGTGCATGAGATCAAAATAACAGTTTTAAACATATTTTGAATCTGAAAGGTTAGATTTCATAGCAAAAATATATAATGGAATAGGCCTATACACAACCTTATTTGGGGTTATGACGAGGGAGGATAGTTGTACTAAGGTCATGAAGCATTTATCAGTTGTATTCTTCAAGAATCAATAGATAAACAATGAATGCAACAAATGTAGCCTAATTATCGCAGACTGTACCTTAAACTGAATTCTAATGTCCTGGAAAAATTTATACGTTGTAGCATCTCATCTACTCTAGTAGGCGTGTAACAATGCATCAATTCTCTTCACGACCAGACAGTCAAAATAAACAGCATCTACCGTCTAGTCATAAGACAGACTGGCCTACTAACACGGAAATCCCAGGATCTCAATTGCATTTCCTTGCCCGAAGTCAGACCTCTGTGCTCGGTCAGAGTAGACAGCACGCGCCCTGGCAATTTCCAAGTGGACGAGGACAACATTAGATTGCAAAAATCACTTCCCACACAACCCCATAGGAAGCCTATAATGTTTTCCAACTACGAACCTTTCTTTCGATCGTTCTTTCCTCTTTATAAAAGCCATCACTGCACACCAACCACTGCATATGTGAGATGTTGTTGTAGCTAATGCTGCGTTCAAACCACTGGGAACTCGGATATGTCTACTTCCGACATCTGTGGGTTCAAAACAACTAGGATCTCGAAAACAAAAACGAGCTCCGACTGGGAAAAATCGATTTCAACGGTCATCCAACTCGGAATTCCAACTTGGAAACTCGGGCCTCTTTCTAGAGCTCCGACATTCCGACCTGAAGATCACTGACGTCATGATTTGACCTTGTATTTTTCCGAGTTCCCAGTTGTTTTGAACGCGGCATAAACACGGAAACTCACTGCGACAGAAGTGACGAAAGCAAGCTTTCAATGCGATACAAGGCGCGGGTTCAGTGGAATTTGTCCGAAAGGGGAAAACTGTGTTTTTGAAATGCAATAGAGCTCGCCAGCGTGTAGTCCTAAAACCCGGAAATGAGTTAGATCTAGTTCATTCAGCCAGCCCTATGGGAAAAACTAATAGGGAAAGAATAGGGTTTTGGAATAAACGCCGAAAATAAGGTCTGAAGTTAACACAGGTTTAGGAGATCTTATACGTTTTGTTATATGATATCATAGCAGTCAGTTAACATTACCTTATGAATTATGAAGCCTTTATGTGCTTTTTTAAATAACATACATTCTTCAAAATGCACATAAAGTGATAGCTGATGAAGATCATCTCATAGAAAAAAACGTGTAAGATCGACTAAGCCTGTGTTTACCACATACTTTATTTTCAGTGTTTATCCAAAAACGCCATTAATTTTCCTCATAGACTTTGTCCAACAAACCATGGCGGAGTTAGTGCCTACAAAAAGACGCCATTACTATTTATCTTTATTGTGTCAAGAAAACATAAAATCAGATAGATGGATTTATGGATGGATACATTAATTAATAAATAAATGAAAGAAAGAAGGAACGAATGAAGGAAGGAAGGAAGGAAGGAAGGAAGGAAGGAAGGAAATAAGGAAATAAGGAAGGAAGATTGAATGGATGTTAGGCCTATTAGTTGGATAAGGGATTGGATGTTCAGAATATTGGATGGATGGATGGATGGAAGGAAGGATGGATGAAGGATGGGTGGATGAAGTGATCATAGATTAGTAAATGAAGGTTGGATCAAGGATGGATGGATGAATGGTGTTAAACAGATAAAGTGTTGACAATTCATTCATCTCAAGTGACTTTGGATCCATTTGAGGGACCATCTCACAGTGCCCATGCCAAAATGCACGCAGTGTTTTCAATATCTAAATGGGCACGGTTGACTTATACATGCTTTACAATATGATCAACTTATGTTGCACAATTTATTGGGCATGAGCAGATGTTATTTATTTCAATAATCATTGACATTGAAGTGGTCGGGTCAAGCTTTTGAAATTAAAGATTGTGCCTTTAAGAATGCCCCCAAGCTGCTGGCTCTCACAGTCTCACTGCAGAATTAGACATTCATCCACGTTCTCCAAATGTCAAATTCCGAAGTGTTTTTCTTGCTCCTGCTGCTCTCTCTTGTTCCATTTATCCAAACTTCACATTTTGAAGTTAAGGGTTAAGTTAAGGCACTCATTCTGAATGGTTAAGGTAAGGAATGGATCAACATGTACATAATAGGTACCGGGAGGAAAATGAGGCAGGGTCATGCTTTTTCAATTTCAGTCCAGGGGAGGGTCATGTAATGGATGAAATATCAATATTTCTCAGTGTTTTAGAATTTGTTGCTTATTAGGCTATATATCGATGTGTGCCCGATGCCGCCCCTCATCTCGGATTCTCTGCTGGGCATGAAATATCAAGTGCACCTATAGGCTATTTAGTGTTGTTTCAATAAAATGATCAACAGCTTACGAAGTGCATGCTTGGAGAAGCACAGAGAAGTTATATTTCTAAGATAGCTGCTGGGATGGTGTAAATAAAGCTATGCTGCATTTCACACTGCAATGGCTATTCCACCCCTGAGCCCCGGCCTGCTCTGCTCTTGCTGATAAAATACTATTTTTTTGTGCTGCCTAACCAATGGCTGTGCTGTGTATGCCTATACTCAAAAAATTAGGGGTTCAACAAAGGTTCTTCTAAGATCGTCAAAGTTCTTCCAAGAACCTTAGGGTTCTTGGCACTGAAAATTGCACCCAAAAGGTTCTTCCACGAACCCCATAGGAGGTGGGGTTCATCAAGGAACCTCCTAAGTTGGTAGGGGTTCTTGCAGGAACCTAACTGCCCAACTGAAACATTTTGATTTTAATTTGAATGGACAGCAGGTGCAGGCACTTAACTGAAAAATGTAAAGATCTCCTCAATTTAAGGTAAGGTTTGTCCCTTGTATGATCTAAATTGATATTGTTTTCTGATGACACTATCCATCTTTTCATATGTGTGCAAATCTTTCTAAAACAGAAAATGGACACAATTCAATGGATAACAGTCAACAAAGAGGTAAGAATATGTATTGTAGGCTATAAGAATATGTTGAAGGCTAGCTGTATTGGGTGCAGATGACTGAACTGCTCACGTTTGTGTCAGTGTCTGCAGGTATACAGATGAGGAGGCATACAAAGGTATGTCAATTGGTATTGGTATGATATGCAGATCAGAGTTACCATCCTCCTCTCTTACCGCTACAATGAATATCCCACAGGCCTCTACATTATGGACAAGGTATGTGTATGAAAACCATTATTAAAACAGTTTTTTTTCATTCACATTTACCACAAAAACCAAGGTATGAATACTGTTGTGTGCATGTTTTGTTAATCATCTGTATAACTACAATTTTTTGGATTCACAGACTTCACCCTCCCTACACCTCTGATGAATATAACAGGAAACCTGCTCGATCCCCATGCACTGCAAAATCATTCTGGCTATGGATATGGAGAACATCAACACATTAACATCAACATGCCAGAGGATATACCCATTGGACTTGGGGCTCTGCTGGGAGTTTACTGTGATGAGTGTGATAGAAGGAGTCAGGCGCAGGAGGGTATATCACCGAATACAGAGTTTATTCCGTCGTACACAATTGCGCTGGATAGCGACAACAGAAAACAGGCACAGGGGAAACCATCTACCCTGGCAATACAGGGTACGGGTAGCTCCAACAATATACAGGCACAGGGGAAATATCTACCCCGGCAATACAAGGTACAAGTAGCTCCACCGATCTACACTACTCTCACAATAAACAATCACCCACAAGGACAAGGGGGCAGAGGGAACACTTATACACAGACTAATGAGGGGATAAGAACCAGGTGTGTGTAATTGACAAGACAAGACAAGACAAATGGAATGATGATATATGGAGCGGCAGTGGCTAGTAAGCCGGTGATGACGAACGCCGAAGCCTGCCCGAACAAGGAGGGGAGGCAGCCTCGGCGGAAGTCGTGACATTTACCTCATATTTTAATTTTTTTATTCTGCTTTGCCACTAAAATCATAATAAACACTGACAACTACAATATTGTGTTATTGTTGTTATTGTTAAGCGTATTATTAATAATAATATTAATGGGGGGGGGGGGGGGGGGGGTAATTCAAAAACTAACCCCAAAAGGTTCTTCAAAAGGTTATTCGAGGATCCATTAAAAGGGGTTCATTGAATAACCATTTTAAAGGGTTCTTCGAATAACTTATAGAGGTTCCCCCACAGTTTCAATTTGAATAACTCCTAAAGGATGCTCCAGGAACCTTTTATTTTTAGAGTGTATGGTGACAATTCAGGAGGAGAGTGTCGTATCGGGTGAATGCTGGCAATTATTGCTGATAAACAAAGGAGTCCGCTCATACTGAACTTTGATCATAAGGTTTATTCATATCACAAGCTTTCAGCATGAGCTTACAGGTGTCAAGATCACCCGGAGAACGGCATCCCCCGAATTGCAATGGCCGCTCTGCCCTCTCTTTGTCTAGCCCCTACTTATAAACAATGCAAAAAGATGGGTGGCTCCCTCTGCTGTCCAATCACCCGTCTCCCCTGGGGCGTCACCCCACAAACGGCTACTCTTGACCTAACATAAACAACATTCAATTTCTTCATGAAAAACGTTAACAAAGACATAATCCTAATACACTACAAGAGTCAAAGGCTTCTTCCGAAAATAATTTTTGAGTAGGCCTAGTCTTGCACATGAACTAGTCTATAGCCTATGTTCTGTTCAGTTGGAGAGCGCGAAGATTAGAAGGAGGACCGGAGGTCAACTTCGATAGCATGCTACTACTATAATTGATTTGATTAAAAACAATATGTTTCTTGTCCATGATGTTGGCCTATTTATTCGTGTATAAAAGCCCCTTTGATATTAATTTAGAATCCTCTACATTTAATTAGATCTACAAGGACATTTTACTGATCTGCCAGTATTTTCATTTAGAGATTCCGGTAAACTATTTGATGTTTTCTTTCATGTGTCCTACCAATTATTATTGGATTATTCACCATGGCAACCACTTGTTAGTATAAAAAGGAAACCTATTTCTCAGTTCAGTTGGCTTTCGTGGAGATCAGACCGTTTTCATTTGCAGGGATATTTGTGCATTTTTGACCAAATGTAAGTCAGAACAAATACTTATTTTAGTTTTATAATATTCCTGTTGCTATTGTTATATGTAAATACAATACATTTGTATGTAGAGGGGTAACTTTCTTCACCAGTTCTCTTACCATTTTGTACAATTATGTAATTAGCCTACCAGTTTGTCACGGATTCAGCCGAGGCTGCTCCTCCTCCTTGCTCGGGCAGGCTTCGGCGTTCGTCGTCCCCGGAGTACTAGCTGCTACCGATCTATGTTTCGGTGTTTGTCTTGTTTGGTCTTTATTGTTTACACCTGTATCCAATTATGTTGTATTGTATTCCCTTTATAACCCTCTGTCTCTCATTGTGTATTGTGTGTGATTGTTTTTCGTCTTATCGGCAGTTGCTAATGTGTGCGGGTTATTTTGTTCCTCTCTGCAAGGAGGTTGGTTTTTGTACTTTGTATTCACTGTGTTCAGTAAAGTACGTGCCAGTAGCTCGGTGTCCTGCTCTTGACTTCGCCTACCGCATACACGTCGCTCTGACAGAATTACACACCAAGACATGGAGTCAGCAGGAGCGGCGGTGCCAGCTGGATCAATGGAAGAACGCGTAGAACAACAAGCGGCTATGATCCAGGCTCTCGGCACCGCCATGGAACGGGTGGTGAGCACCATGGAGCGATGGGAAAGAGGAGGTTTGCCTACACCTCCTCCGACGATACCACCACCATCAGCTATGCCCCTCGCTTCACCTCCGGGGTCCAGTGGGATTCGGCTCTCGCTCCCGAGGGCTTATGATGGCACAGCTGCCGGGTGTCAGGGTTTTCTGCTCCAGGTGGAACTCTACCTGGCAACCATCCACCCGGTGCACTCGGGATACGAGAGCGTGTCCGCCCTCATCTCCTGTCTGTCCGGCAAGGCGCTGGAGTGGGCCAATGCCGAGTGGGGGGGGATAGACGCCGCTACTGTCAACTATGCAGAGTTCACCCGCCGCTTCAGGGCAGTATTCGATCATCCACCAGAGGGTAAAGCGGCGGGTGAGCGTCTATTCCACCTCAGACAGGGGAGGAGGAGCGCGCAGGAGTTCGCACTGGACTTCCGGACACTGGCTGCTAACGCGGGATGGAATGACAGGACCCTCATCGACCACTACAGATGTTGCCTGAGGGAGAACGTGCGTCGGGAATTGGCCTGCAGGGACACCAACCTAAGATTCGACCAACTGGTGGACATGTCGATTCGCCTGGATACCATGTTGGCTACCCGCGGACGTCCGGATTCGGGGCCGTCCATTCCATCCCCCAGCACTTCCGAGCCGACCCCTATGGAGCTCGGAGGTGCTGGTACTAGGAGAGAGACCAGGAGAGAGGCCGTCCCCTGCACCAACTGTGGCCGCAGAGGACACACTGCTGGTCGGTGCTGGGGAGGGTCTCCTAGGAATCGAGGCAGTAGGCAGCGCACTGATGAGTCATTCCAGGTGAGTAGGCACCCAACTCACCCAGAGCTCCCTGTTGCGCATATGTGTATTAAAGTGGTGTTTCCCGAGGTTTCTCCTCATTCCCAGCATAAGGCGCTAGTAGATTCAGGCGCAGCTGGGAATTTTATCGATCGCCAGTTCACCTATAAGTTAGGGATTCCTATTGTTCCAGTTGATGTGCCCTTCCCTATCCATGCCCTAGATAGCCGCCCTTTGGGGTCAGGATTGATTAGGGAGGTCACAGCGCCTCTCAGGATGAAAACGCAGGAGGGCCATGAGGAGATAATTTGTTTGTATTTGATTGATTCTCCTGCGTTTCCCGTGGTGTTGGGGCTTCCCTGGTTAACTTCTCATGACCCCAACATTTCATGGCAACAGAGGGCTCTCAAGGGATGGTCTGATCATTGTGTCGGGAGGTGTGTAGGTGTTTCCGTAGGGGCCACGACGGTGGAAAGTCCGAACCAAGTTCCCACCATGCACATTCCACCTGAATATGCCGATTTGGCTCTCGCCTTCTGTAAAATGAAGGTGACTCAATTACCACCCCATCGACAGGGGGATTGTGCGATAAACCTCCAAGTAGGCGCTGCGCTTCCCCGAAGCCATGTGTATCCTCTGTCTCAGGAGGAGACGGCGGCTATGGAGACATATGTCACCGAATCTCTGAGACAGGGATACATACGACCGTCCACTTCCCCTGCGTCATCGAGTTTATTTTTTGTGAAAAAGAAGGATGGGGGTTTACGCCCGTGTATTGACTTCCGTGGTCTCAATCAGATCACAATCAAATACAGCTATCCTCTCCCTCTGAGTCATTACACGGGCGTGATTCTTCACAAAATTGGATCTCAGGAGCGCGTACAACCTGGTGCGCATTAGGGAGGGAGATGAGTGGAATGCAGCATTCAGTACCACCTGGTCATCCTGGTATTGGTCAGACAGTGCACTGCCTTAGTGGGAAGTACTGGTGGCCCACTTTAGCTAAGGACGTGAGGGTTTATGTTTCCTCCTGCTCGGTGTGCGCCCAGTGTAAGGCACCTAGACACCTGCCCAGAGGGAAATTACAACCCCTACCCGTTCCACAATGGCCGTGGTCTCACCTATCGGTGGATTTTGTCACGGACCTTCCCCCCTCCCAGGGGAACACGACGATTTTGGTCGTTGTGGATCGGTTTTCGAAGGCCTGCCGTCTCATTCCTATGGCAGGTCTCCCTACAGCCCTACAAACTGCTGACGCCCTGTTTACACACGTCTTCCGGCACTACGGGGTACCTGAGGATATAGTGTCTGATCGGGGTCCCCAGTTCACCTCTAGAGTCTGGAGGGCGTTTATGGAACGTCTGGGTGTCTCGATTAGCCTTACCTCAGGTTTTCACCCAGAGAGTAATGGGCAGGTGGAGAGAGTGAACCAGGATGTGGGTAGGTTTCTGAGGTCCTATTGCCAGGACCGGCAGGGGGAGTGGTCAGGATATATCCCCTGGGCAGAGATAGCCCAAAACTCACTCCACCACTCCTCAACTAACCTTATGCCTTTTCAGTGTGTGCTAGGTTATCAGCCGGTCCTGGCACCTTGGCATCAGAGCCAGATCGAAGCCCCTGCGGTGGACGAGTGGTTTCGGCGCTCGGAAGAAACCTGGAACGCTGCGCATGTCCGTCTGCAGCGGGCTATCAGGCAGCAAAAGGTGAGCGCCGATCGCCACCGCAGTGAGGCTCCAGTGTATGCACCGGGAGATCGGGTCTGGCTCTCGACCCGAAACCTGCCCCTTCGCCTGCCCTGCCGGAAGCTGGGTCGGCGGTTTGTGGGGCCATTTAAAGTCCTGAGGAGATTGAACGAGGTATGTTATAGGTTACAACTGCCCATTAATTACAGCATTAACCCCTCGTTCCATGTGTCTCTCCTCAGGCCTGTAGTAGCTGGTCCACTCCAGGAGAGTGAAGTACGAGAGGCACCTCCGACCCCACTGGACATCGAGGGGGCTCCGGCGTACTCAGTCCATTCCATCTTGGATTCAAGGCGTCGGATGGGGGGCCTGCAGTATCTCGTGGAGTGGGAGGGATACGGTCCGGAGGAACGGTGCTGGGTCCCTAGGAGGGACATCCTAGATCCCAAAATGTTGACGGATTTCCACCGGAGTCATCCGACTCGCCCTGCTCCGCGTCCTCCTGGCCGTCCCCGAGGCCGGGGTCGGCGCACGGCTGGGGCCGCGCGTCAAGGGGGGGGGGTACTGTCATGGATTCAGCCGAGGCTGCTCCTCCTCCTTGTTCGGGCAGGCTTCGGTGTTCGTCGTCCCCGGAGTACTAGCTGCTACCGATCTATGTTTCGGTGTTTGTCTTGTTTGGTCTTTTTTGTTTACACCTGTATCCAATTATGTTGTATTGTATTCCCTTTATAACCCTCTGTCTCTCATTGTGTATTGTGTGTGATTGTTTTTCGTCTTATCGGCAGTTGCTAATGTGTGCAAGGAGGTTGGTTTTTGTACTTTGTATTCACTGTGTTCAGTAAAGTACGTGCCAGTAGCTCGGTGTCCTGCTCTTGACTTCGCCTACCGCATACACGTCGCTCTGACACAGTTGGTGTAACTGTAATGTTAATTCTCTTGAGAGGAATTATGGTGTGTTAATTTTCTGTTATTGTAAATTGTGTATAGAGATTGCTGACATTACTGTTTAATGTAATATTGTTTATTGGATTTACATTGTAGTAATTTTATATTTATTTTATCCTGTTTCCCTCTGTACACAGACCACATGTATACTCTGTTTCATCATTAAACTCCTAGACTGGGCTTCTGTGTCTGTCATCACTCTTTGACCAGAGTGCAGGCCGGTATCCGTTTACTCCCAGTGGCCTATCCACACATTAGAGAGCACCAGACTCCGTTTCATGGTCCTTCGAACCGGGATAATGGACATCGAGACTGAGGACAACCAGATCTCCCAAGGGACCAAGCCCCGAGGAGATGACCGTCCATGACGGCAGATACAGCATAGTCAACCACCTACGCACTCTCACAACAGCTCCAAGTAGGCATGCCCACTGAGGTGAGGGTATTCTAACTGGTGAGCCCTCCCCCCACAGGTCAGCCTCAGGCAAGCCACGCCCCTGAAGAAGAAGACCTTGAGGAGGATTCTGATGAAGATTAAGTGGATCATCCACAACCTCAACAAAGCAAACTGTTGAGCCCAGGCCAGCCACAACAAAAGGCATTAAAAGCCCCTCCAAGGAAGGGGTTCGCCAGCCCGCAGTCAACAAAGCAGTAATGGTGACAACAGTGATCACTCATATATTCAAGTTCATCTTAAGAAGATAGAACTTGAAGAACTGGAACACCAGTTATTTGAAGAGAGAGGGGCAGCAAGGTTCAATTCCGAAATAGAGATGGAGAGACTCCAACTCACCATGGAGAGAAGAGACCAGGAGTTGCAGCTGGAGAGCAGAGAAAGACAATAGAGAGAGCAGCAACGCATTCGTCAGGCCCAGAACGAGCTGAAGAAGGTTGAGCGGCGCCACTCCCTCCTGGAAAAGGGTGAAGGTTACTCTACCCTTCTATGCACCCCCAGCCGCATCTTGCCCAGTCAGCTGACAAAGCGTGGCACCAAACAGGAGCCAACAACTCAAGACGCGATCGACCACCAGGCAGGATCATGTGAAGGGCAATCCGGCTGGCCCCAGACCAGCCACCCGCTCATACTAGAGCAACCTCCAGCAGCTTCCCATGTCTCCTGGAATGACACCAACCAAGGACTTACCTCAGGTCCAGGTGTCCACAACCATGGTCTAGTCAACCAGTGCGATGCCTCCTCCTTGATGCTAGTCCCACGCCGTTGGACTGATCCACCTCCATTGTTTAATCAGTCAGCCCAGCTCTCAGCATCAACTGCTGGGCCACCTTTGAGCATGCCAGCACCACGCCCGCTCTTATCCTACAAAGGTCACGGGGCGCGCCACCACACAGGCCCAATCCACGCCAGCAGCCAACAACTGGGGTGCCTCTAGCACCTGTGACTCCAGGCCCAAACCTAATGGATCCAGTTTTAGCCTCCTCCTTTGGGATCCCAAAGCCAAAACTCCCACACTTCAGCAGCGGTCGTGAGCGTGACTTTGCCCTACTGAGGATGGCCCTGGACAGCCTGCTTGGCCCCCATCCTCATCTGACAGAGCATTACAAGTACCAAGTTCTGCTAGAGCACCTCAAGCTTCCAAGTGCTTACAAACTGGCCCAGTCATGTATGTATGATCCAAATCCCTAGTATGGACAGCCAAGGCAGTTGGTGCAGAGCGAGCTTGGAGCCATCCTGAATGCGGCACCTATCAAGATGGGAGATGCTGCAGCATTCAACGAGTTTGCTCTCTCTGTCCATTCTCTCGTGAGTATGCTCCAGACACTAGAGGGTGCCAACGGATTCCAGCTGATGTGTGGCTCACACGTGGATCGCCTTCTCAGCAATCTTCCAGGAGCCTACAGAGACGGTTTTGTGGAGAATTGCCTTACCAAAGGCATTCTACAAACAGGGGTCAATAGAACCTACATCCTACCTGACCTGACTGCATGGTTACAAATCAAGTCTCGGGCCAAACGGATTGCCAGTCGAACCGTCGAGTTGTACCAGAAAGAGGAAAAGGGAGCTAAACACGCCTGCCTTCCCACTACAAGAACAAAACTGCCACTGTCCTCTACAACACAGACCAGACTACTGAGCATTCAGAGTCTTCACCAAAGTCCAAGAAGAAGTCCTCAGCTCCGCAGGAAAGGAAGGCATCCAAGGGCAAAGAGAAGCCTAAACTGTACTTCCCTTTCTGCACGAACCAAGAACACTACCTCAGTTCTTGTGAGGAGTTTAAGAAGCTCTCCAAATACCAAATAGCTCAGTGGGTCAAGGATAAAGACCGGTGCTGGCGATGTGGGCGAGGACACCAGCCAGATTCCTGCACCCTAAAGAAGCCATGCAACATCTGCAAAGAGCAATACCTGTCCTTCATGACAGAAGAGGGTAAGAGTGTCCTGATGGTCAGCACACCTCCGACTACAGTCTACCTGGACCGGCCAAATCACTCTGGCCGTGTGATGCTAAAGGTCGTGAAAGTCTGGCTCCACAATGGTAACAGATCGCTCGAAACCGATGCAGTCCTAGATGACGGATCAGAGCATACCATTGTCCTTCCCTCTGCTCTTCAGCAGCTGGCGTTGCCGAAGAAAGCAGAGTCCCTGATGCTTAGGACCATACATCAAGAGGTGGTGCAGTTAAAAAGCCACTTAGTCACTTTTAAGTTCTCACCAGTGTGCAACCCGTCCAAGCAGTTCAGTATCACCAAAGCCTTCACTGCTGATGACCTAGGCCTCGCAGAGTACTCCTACCAGGTGGAGGCTTTGCAGAAGCGTTACCAACACCTCTGAGGTCTTCCCCTCAATACCTTCACGAAGGCCAGTCCCCTGGTCCTGATCGGTTCAGGTCACCCCCACTTGCTGACACCAATGGAACCGGTGTGCATGAGCCCTCAAGGTGGACCTGGTGCAGTCAACACAAGACTTGGTTGGGCACTCCAAGGGCCTTCCAACTTCCCATCCAATTCCGGAAAGGAACAACAGTGCCTGTTCACTTCCACCATCTCCCGTTCAGATGACCTCTTCCGCCATGTGGAGAAGCTGTGGCAGATTGATACCCTGCATTACTGCAACAAGAAGATGGTGACCTGGTCCAAGCAAGATCATGAGTCTATCCGCACCCTTGAGACTGACACCGTACGTGTGACTGCAGGAGATGTTGCACACCACTCCTCTACTCCGAGTTAAGGACTCTCCACGCTTGAAAGCACCAAAGGAGGCAGTCTTGGCTCATCTGAGGAGCACCGAGCGGCGTTTAGCCAAGAACTCAGAGCAGGTGAAGATCTACTGCCGAGAAGTTCAGAAGCTAGAAACTGCAGGCTATGTGATCAAGCTCCCCCAAGAAGAGGTTGACTCGGCAGAGGAGTCCTGGTACATCCCGCACCATCTGGTGCACCACAACGGAAAGAACAGGTTAGTGTTCAACTGTTCCTTCGCGTACAAGGGCCAAGTTCTTAACAAACTCCTCCTACCAGGACCCACCTTGAGTCCTTCCCTGCTTGGCGTCCTCCTGAGATTCAGGCAGCACACACTGGCTGTCTGTGGAGACATCAAGGCCATGTTTCATCAAGTGCACCTGCTGATTCCTGTGGAGAGATCTGAAGAGTGACCAAGGACCAGACGTCTATGAATGGCAGGTTCTTCCTTTTGGCGCGACCTGCAGCCCCTGCTGTGCCACATTCGCTTGCTACCCCAAGACTGAGGTCTTCTCCGATTCCTGTGGAGGGATCTGAAGAGTGACCAAGGACCAGACGGTTACGAATGGCAGGTTCTTCTTTTTGGCACGACCTGAAGCCCCTGCTGCGCCACATTCGCCTTGCACCAACATGTGCAAGATCACAAGGATGGTAACGAGGATGTGCCACAGATGGTGGAACATGCCTTCTACATTGACAATTGCTTGCATAGCCTTCCTGCATCCCAGGAAGCACACCAGATGGTGAACAAGACAAGGACTCTGCATGCCATTGTTGAGCATCTCCCTAAAGAAGCAAGATCTGTGAGCACAGAACTGTGGCTCTCCCAAAACCGTGTGGACCCTGAAGAGCCCACATTAGGACTCTGCTGGCACAGCTCTACAGATACATTGGGGTACCGCCCTGTGGTGGAGCCGACACCCACCATGAGGACCATCTACCATACTCTTGCCAGCCAGTACGACTCCCTGGGATATATCATCCACGACGAGAGCAAAGATCCTGGTACAGGAGCTCTGGAAGAAGGAGAGGTGATGGGACAACCCCCTCTTACCGGCAACCCTGTTAGACCAGTGGAAGGAGTGGGAGCGCGAACTTCCGACACTGTCAGAGGTCGCCATCCTTAGGTGTTATGTCCCTCCAAATATAGACAGCGACACAGTGACCACCGACATCCACATCTTCTGCGATGCTTCAGAGAGAGCATACGGCTCTGTGGCCTATCTCCGCACCGAGGACTACCAAGGACAAGTACACATCTCATTCCTCTTGGCAAGATGTTGAGTGGCACCCAAGCGCCAACTCTCAATGCCCCGCCTGGAGCTCAGTGCTGCCCTGACTGGAGCCCAACTAGCTCATCTTCTGCAAACTTAGCTTACTTTGGAGGTCCACAGGACCACCCTGTGGTCAGATTCAATGATCATCTTGAACTGGATGCAATCAAAGTCATGTCGTTACAAAGTGTTTGTCGGCACCAGAGTAGCTGAGATACAAGATCTCACAGATGATAGGGGGTGGAAATATGTTGACACCGCTAACAACCCAGCAGACGACATCACGAGGGGGAAAACTCTGGCTGAGCTAACCCGAGTGAACCCCTGGACTCAAGGTCCACCCTTCCTGCAACAGTCACCTGACACCTGGCCTGTGATGCCCAGTGCTGCTAGAGAAGAGGACACCGCTGAATGTCGCAAATCTATTTTCTGCGGTCAGGTCACCCTTACTCCTGATCCTGTAAAGGTAGACTGGAGCACGTCTCACAGTTGGAAGGAGCTCTGTGAGTCCATGTACCAAACTATGATTACAACTGTTGGGGATCCCAAGCCCTCAAGACACGATGTGGAGACTTTCCTGCTTAAAGAAGAGGGAGAGTTTCGCAGAGGAGATCAAGGCCCTTGAAGCCGACAAGCCAGTACCGAGGAACAGCAGACTCTGTTCATTGTCTCCTGAATACGACCAAGCCCTAGGTCTTATTCAGGTCGGCGGCCGGCTTCATCAAGCTGAATCCCTGCCTTCTGATGTTCTCCATCCTGTCGTGTTGGACCCACAGCATCCCATAGTCAAGTTCCTCATCCAGGACTTTGACAACAGTCTGCTTCATCCAGGTGTGGAAAGAGTGTTTGCTGAGATTCGTCGCACCTTCTGGATACTATGAGGCCGGGAGGCCATTCGACGACATCAACGAACCTGTCTGGAGTGTAGGAAATGTCAAGCAAATGTCCTGTCGTCACCTCCATCCCGCCTCCGGCTTTACAAGCCCCCTTTCTGGTCTACAGGGGTAGACTGCTTTGGTCCATTTACAGTGAAGATGGGAAGACGTACAGAGAAGAGATGGGAAGTCATCTTTAAGTGCCTCACCGCTCGCTGCACCCACCTCGATCTTCTGACTAGAATGGATGCAGATACCTTCCTGATGGCTCTCCATCGCTTCATTGCCCGACGAGGAAAACCCTTTGAGATCCTGTCGGACAATGGGACCAATTTCCGAGGGGTGGACAGAGAGCTGCAAGAGGCCTTCACGGCCCTTGGGCCTGCTCTCCAGGAACAGCTGGCTGAACAGAAGATCACCTTTCGGTTCAACCCCCCGAATGCACCACATTTCGGAGGCGCCTGGGCGAGGGAGATAA